AAATTTGCGTCGGGTTACGACCAACTCGGGATATGCCCAGAGTCATGGAACGGATTAAGTTTGTATCCCAAGGTACCACTGTATATCTGTTTCCTTTTCCTAATTAATTTTTAAAAAATTATTTCTAGATCCCAGGGGCTAAGTCTGCAATCCTCTGCAAGTGATTTCAGGATTTGCTATCTGTTAAAAAGATCTAGAGGAAACTCAAGATGCCAATCCTAGAGAAAGCCACAGCCGAAAAGGAGAATAGCACACACAGCCAAGATGAGATGGTGAGCAATGGAAAGAGGCATCAGAAGGGATGTGGAAGGGGGGGCAATGCCATTGGGATGGAGAAGAGTTTAGCAGAACAGATATCACATTGTTCCTCTTTATGGGAAGAATGAGTGAAGTAGCATTCAAAAATTCAACAGGTCACTTACCTGTGGAAAATATACTAGTGTAAGGTGTGCAAGGACAAGGACAATAAATTGAGACTGCTCAACAACAAAGCCATTTTGGGATTTCTGATTTCTTGAGCAATTCTATGGATGTTTACCTAGAAATCAAATGACTCCCCCCCCCCCCCCCCCCCGCAAATGCAGGGGATGAGGAAAAAGACAACCCAAATATTTAAGTCAAATAGCTTCAAGCATAAAGTTTCGAGTTCAAAGCCAAGGGATGAATGTCCTCCCTGGATTGAAAGAAGAGCTCAAGATGGTCCTTCTTCATCCATCCTCTCAAAGAGAATAAGTTTTAGGTTCTCTTGTCTAGATGTCCCTTTTGTTAAAAAATTAACAAAAAAACGGTCTTCTTCTTCCTTAGATGAGAAATGAGAAGGAGAAAGCCACTTTGTTTCTTAGACACTGCAGCAGGGTATGGTCAAAAAAGTCAAGTTGGTGGCCACAGTGGTGTGATTGAAGCTCCACCTGGTTTTTTTATAATTTTTATAAAATTGTTAAATTATTTTGATAGGGTTTTTAAAAATAATTTGAGGTAAACATTTAGCCATTTTCCCCCATATTGTTTTAATATTTTAAAAAATCAAGCAGAGGAAAACTGGCCTATATTTTCCCCTCTATTTCAATTAAACAGGAAAGTTAAAAATTAGAAATTACAGTGCTTGGTTTCCATCTGTGTGCCCTTTGCAAACTATCACATATTAAAAAGAGGTTTAGAGAAATTTAGAAGATTAATTGTCCACCCCAGAGAGTTGCAAAATATAGCACACACTGCTCTGCTCGAGTTTGTACAAGAAAAGTGTCTCTCTTGTGTCTTTTCCAAAGCTAGAATGGGATAGAATGTTTTGGCTCTGTTCTGCATTGCTCATAGGTTCATTAACTTCCATGCAATTGTTTAAAAGTAATAATTCTATGCTGTATGAAATCTGAAAGAAAGTATGTGTTATGTTAGAACATCAAAGCTGAAGCTCAACTACAGGAAAGGAGTTTTGTAAAACAAAATACTGTAGGAACGTCCAACTACTAATTGCCTGGAATCTTTTTCATTAGAAACTGCTCAAACTTCCAGTTCCACCACTCCAACAAACGTTAGATAAGTACCTTCAGTGCATGAAACATTTGGTGTCTGAAGAACAATATAAGAAGACAAAGACTATTGTGGAGAAGTTTGGAGCACCAGGAGGCCAGGGAGAGCTCCTACAGAAAAAGCTCCTTGAAAGACATGAAAAAATGGAGAATTGGGTATGTTTTCTGTCCTTCAATTTCAAATATGCTCATCATAAAATGTGCAAAAAAGGCTAGAACAAATGGGTGTTTATGCTTCTTTTTCCTTTATTTCCTTCTCTATGGGATTTGTTGAGCTGCTCTGATATCCCAGAGGCATTACTGGTACACAGAAAAGTTCATTTTCAGACTTTCTTTTCTGAGGACAATAGAATATTAGTGTGGGAGACAAGAATCACTCTAGGTCTCTAGTCATCAGAGGACGTTAATAGGAAAGACAAAAACACAGCTGGTAAAACAAAGCTAGAACGTCTTGAAACAATGGACTCGACCCAGAAATGTTCAGTCTAGACTTGAATACAGTAGACTTGGAGACAGGTATGCTGATTCCTGACATACTTACTTGCAAGAAAGTTGCTTGTCTGAAAGATCCCACATGTCAGGAATAGGCAATCTTTGGGGGCCAAGAACCACTTTTTAATTTTTTTCAGTGTTTGAGGGCTAGAGAAGGAAGCCATGATGGCGACTGCACTCAAGTGGCCAGGACCAGATTCCAGGTTTTCAAACTTCTTTCAGTGTTTGGGGGATGGGGGTTTTCTCTATCTTTAAAAATTATGTGTCTATTAAAATCAAACTGCCAATGGATCATGCAGATTAGAAAATTGGCCATGTCTGAAGTCTAGAGAGTACGGGAAGGGTGTTTTTTTTTTCAAAAACAAACAAAACAAAAAGTATTTGTTCAAAAATTAGTGGACAAAATGATTCCATGGAACGGTTTCAGCAGATGCTTAATTTCACAAATGTGCACTAAATCAATGCAGAGGAAACATATGATACTATTTGACAATGTACCTATATATCACTTTTTTTTTTTGGTAGGTTTTGCATTACTGGCTAGATGACATGTATCTTAACAATCGATCAGCCCTTCCAATCAATTCTAGCCCAGCAATTATCTTTGCTCACCGACAGTTCCAAGAAGCAGATGACCAACTGAGGTAAAGTATCTGAAGATCCCTGAAGACCATAACATCCCATTCTGGCTATAACTGTAGCACTTTATGACAAACAGATGTCCAAATTATGCATAGAAGAGTCATAAACATATTTAAACTTTTTTTCCCCAACTCAATGGCCAACTTTGAATTTGTTTTGACTTCTCCTCTTTTCTGAATATACTGCTTCTGAAATGCACAAGAATTTAAAGCACCTTACACAGACTTGTATTAAAAGCCCCATTTAAACCTATGCTTTACTCTATATGTCATTATTCTGGCTTGAAAAGAAATATGAAGAGCTGAAGTAGAGTCATCTAAACTAAAATGGGTTTCAGCTGAATTTCTTTTAAGTTATTTCTTCATGTCCACAATCATTCTGTGTGTTTGTATCTACCTATGTACACCAGAGGTGGGGGAACTATGGATTCCCAATCAGGGGCATCCACCAGGAGGTTGTGTCAAAAAGGTCAAGATGGTGGCCACAACTCTATGATTGAATCCTGGCTCTTTTTACTTGCATCACACATGCAACCCAGGTTAAAAAATGGGTGAGACTTCAACCTTGTAGCTGCCATCTTGACTCTTTTGACACCATCCTCTCCCCGTGCAGACTTCTGCTCCCAATGTTAATCACTTACAATTTTCAGCATCTCAGTTTCCATAGCCAGTGATGAAGAATGCTAAAGTTGCAGTCTGGGGACTTCTGAAAGGGCCCATATTCCCACCCCTGGAGCCATCTACGTCAACATCCACCTACTTACACACACCCACAGAAAGACTACATTTCAAATCATTCCCTTCCAATCATTCTCACAGGAATCTACCTCAACAGAATTGAATACCTTCCTTCATGGGGCACTGACTTCCTTGAGTTTAACTTTCAGGTCCACAGCTACTTCATGTCTCTGTCTGACATCAACCTACCAGTAAAGCAACTTCTTTTATTTCAGCTCAGCTATAGCCAAACCAGACTCCGGCATGCCCCACTGAACTTAAAGGGAGTTAACCATTTTAGGATTGCATTCTGTGTTGCTTTAAATAAGTCTGTGTTAAAACTGAAATCGGCTTTTTCTGCCTTCACCCTGTTTTGGTTATTTTTCATGTTCATTAGATAATTTATATCCTACCCTTCTGATTCATTTTGCATTGCTGGAGAGATTAATAACAAGCAACATCATAAAATCACAGTGACACATAAACTAAAAGCAATAAAAGTAGATAAACTACAGACAGCTCCAGCAGACAAAAACAACTGAAATAGGAGTTGTTATATGTATGTGTGTGTATGTATATAAACACACACACACACACACCATACTGCTGGCCAGAATAGATATAGTTTAGACAAGTATCAAAAAATGGGGATATTATGGTATTTCCATTACTGTTATAATATTCCAATCAATTAAAGTATATAAAACTCCCTCTGAGTAATTGGATTGTACTCAAAGTGTGTGGATTAACGAAAAGTGGAAGATGCCACATTTGATCACGTAGAAACCAGAGGCTAATGGTCACCCTTTTCAAGGAAAATGTATTCATTGTGTCTGCCCTTGCCTATAGATATGAAAATGAAAATGTTCTGGGAAGATAGACTGGATTTGAAATTGCTTCTGCTACTTATGACATATTTTCCCCCAATAAACAGTCTCTTGGGTCCTCCTATCCATGAAAGATTGGTTTCTGCTTTGCTCTAGTGACCGCCTGCCAGACGATATTGAAGACTGGATCTAATTGTGATGTCTGAGCAACTAAAACATTTGCCTTTTGGATAATAAGCTCGCCAGAATTGTGGAAATTACAAGAAAAGTAGAGAGATCTTGGTGAATGGTCTGGATTTTCAGCTAGCCACTTCTAAAACCTGAAGTAGAATCAGTATGAAGACTAACAGAAAAAAAAACCACGTTATTTTAATATGACACAAATGGTTTCTAGACATCTTCATACAATATCAGTGTCATTTCTGAACAATTTGGATGATTGAAGGATTTAGGTAGACTCTTCTGAAATGCTCCAGGAAAACTAAGCTTTGATATTCCAAAATTATAATCCCTAAATCCACATCCTTATATTTAATGACTGCTATTCCAAAGATTAAGATATATTCCCAAGATTTTGGAACATATAGAGTTATCAAGAGAATCCTTATGTCTGATGTGGTTAAGGTGGAATTCACTGTCCCCCAAGCCAAAATAATTACCCAGAAATAAGTCCCATAGTGTTCAGTGATGCTTACTTCCAGGTAAAGATAGTCAGCTTTTCAATCTTAATATTGTGAATTAAGCAATGTGGCACAATATATAAAAGTAACACAAGAAGCTATCTTATAACTGATCTATCCAGCTCAGAATTGTGCCGTAGAGTTTATGAGAGTTGTTGTTCGACCTATTTGGAAGACAGCAAGTTGAGGAAAAGAAGATCTTTTCTTGATTCTCAGGATCTTCAGACAGGGTTCTCTCTCAGACCTACCTGGAGATGTCAAGGAGTATGTAACTTTTTCTTTATATTTTTCAAGCATGTTCCGGCCTTCCCTTAATACTGTTCTACTGTATTAATAATATTGTATGAGAATTCCAGATGTTTAAATAGGTTGAAGTTACAGTAGGAGGCAGCAACTACTGTGAAAACTTTGGCTGATCCCCAAAAAGAGCGTTAGACTTAGTATTTGGAAGAGGTAGGGAGCACAAGCACATTGTCTCTTTAAAGCAGCCACATCTGTTCCCAGGTTTGCACAGAGGCCTGGAAAAAAGATTTGGCTGCTTTAAGTAGTCAAACTTTAATGAGTTGGCTGCTTAAAGCTTCTATATCCTATCCTATCCATGCAGGAATCTGAAATCAAGCCCAAATTGAGGGACGTTTTCCCTTTAAAAACCTCCAAAGCTTTTTTTTTTAATGTTCTTAGATATATTTCCCCCTTTTTATTATAACAAGCCCTCCCTGAGTACACATTACTGGTCAAATTAAGTACTTAGTTTTTTCTAAAGTACAGAGGCAATTTTAAAATATTGAAATTCTAATTAAATGCATTGATCTAGGCTATTCTGTTTTGACGAATGCATTACTCTAAGTGCTAATACAATTAGGTACTTAATCTCATTCTACTCTGAGTACAATATAATTCCAATGCTTCAAAAGCCTTAAAAGCCAGATTTCTTACCCTGTACCTTAAGGCACAGGAACTACTTTTCTGTATGTAACTTGCATGTACATCAAAGTTGCATTTCCTCCTCGCAGTTAGTCCTTCCTGACTCCACCTTATGCTGGTAAGGCTAAGTTAAAACCATACGATCTGAAAATGCTATTGAAATACATTTTAAAATACAGAATGGCAGCATTATTCAGAATTATTCTATTTTACATAGATCATCTTCAGAAACTTTAAAAAAAACAGATACATCCAAAATGATGACTTGTCTATACATGTCCTCCTCCCCCCTTTAAACTGAATAGCTTCACTGTAGCAGCTGTTTCTCTGTTTTGCATCTCTCCCAGTTGCACAGCTCTCGACACAGAAAAAGCCTCTTGGCATATAGGTGATGTACTTAGAAACCTTGGACAGAAGGCGGGAATAGGAAATGCTGTCCAGCTCTTAGGCACAATCTTGACCAAATATGAATTGCAGTGAGACAAACATTGTTTAAGAATAATTCACAGAAAAGCAGAAAATGCATCAAAATATCAGTCTGGTCACTCATGCACCGTACTGTAAAACATCAGTAGTAAAGGCTAGACCAAATCAAAGGTGGGTTTATTCCGGTTATCCTGCTTGCCTGCCTGCAGGGAAAATAAGAAGAGATCAAAGACATTAAAGAAAAGATTTGGGGTGGGGTGGGGTGGGGTGGGGAGAGAATTGGGAGCACTAAAATAGGTCTGTCTTGCATTTTTGCTGACCGTCTTGTAACTACTGGCTGGCCAATCTCAAGGAGTAACCAGATGTGAATGGGAGCAAGAAGCCCATTAAGAGACTTTTTAATATATGGTAAAAACACTGGATTTAGACTCAGGAGACCTCGGTTTGAATTCCCACTCCATATCAGGTATCTAATCTGCTATGCAGGGTTGTAGTGAGGATGACTTAGATGAGGCCTCATCCATTCTCTCTGGAGGAATGAAGAGATTTAAAAATGGAAGTAATACGATCAATTAATACTGATGGACGTCCTATCTAGCTGCTACTTGATTATCAACTGGCAAAGGTCCACCATGATAACCCTATACTGATCATGATGTGTATATAATCTCTTGCTGCAGAAATCCATGGGACTTTTATATTTTGACTTCTAGGTTTGCTGCCAATCTCATTTCTGGAGTTCTCGATTATAAAGCTCTCCTGGACACGTAAGTGATTTGCCACTTAGGAATAGAATCAGTTCTTAAATGAGGAGGGAAAAGGGATGAAAGTAAGACATGTCCAGAGGTTTGGTTGAGATGACCTCACACAGTAATGAAGTCACTCTTCCAAAGTAAATCATTTTTTAGTCTTGAGGAGAATCGTAGGTGTAATTTAGATTTAAGGCTTTTAGGGGTAAGTCCCATAAATTGTGGACAATTAACATAACTACGCCTGACATCAGCCCCAGAGTTTAGTTTTAGAAGAACTAAAAAACTTAAACACAAAAAGTTGTTCTATGCACAGCATATTTCCTGAGCACGAACACAGAGCAGCACAACCTATGATCCCAGGGCTGCAGGTGACCCCCCCCCAAAAAAAGCTTCACATGCAGCCCCTCCCAAGGACTCCAAAAGCTTTGGTTGCTTCTTTTTTAATAGGATAGGGGGAAATATGAAAGACACAATTGGGAGTCATCATAATAACTACATTTCAGTTGAGTGAAAATGAAAAAATAATTGAAAATCACACCATATCTCTACCCTGGGAGGATGGCCCCAGCAGAGATGTTCAAAGGGCCAAGTGTGGCCCTCAGCCCTGAGAAAGTTGTGCACCCCTTTGTTGGCATCAAAGGACAACAATGTCTAGAGTTCCTTGCAGGGAGGAAGATGAGATTTATAAATGGTGTGATATCATAACATAAACTAGCATAACAAAACTAGACCTGTGTGGAATGGAATTTACAGTAAGTTGTTATTATGAATAGCTATGATAATTTACCAAAGGATAGAAGTTTTAGGCCAGTGTTCACTATTATTACTGCAGTTGCCTGCATGTGTTATATCTTGTGTTGAATGACTGTTGCGTTGCATGACACTTCAGCTCAACAATGCACGCCCTTCCATCCCTGCTTTGGATCCATTCAACAAATCTTCTTCAGTCCAGATTATTGACTTGGCTATTATCCAATTCAAATCACGCCATTCAGATCATCAGTCTGAACAGAGTCAAAATTTTGACCAGAGCTGTTTGAAAATTGGATCATCTCCATATAATATGCTTTGACGTGATTTGAAAGGTTGAATTGGGTTGCTTCAATTTGCTGAAACAATCTGGCAGGGGGGGGGAGGAACAGCTTTTACGTGTGGTCAAAATCCTTCTAAATTGTTGAATTTATTCAAATGCCTCTCATGTGATTCAACAATGGGACTCAACAATTTGATCTGAAAAATCAGAGATTCTATCAAATAGCACTCTAGCTGAAACTCTGGAAAAAAATCCTTTATTCCAGTGCACTGCCTATATCTATTCTACTTTCCACCTCCTATTAATTCTGACTGTAGGACATTCCTTAAGAATAAGCCGTATACAGTTGTAAGATGAAAGTACCCAGAGGAAGCAAAACACTTGATATGACATTTTGCAGAATAATTAATAAATTCTGCTGTTTCCACCTAGTTTAGCACAACTTCTTTTACAAGTGTCTCCAAAGGTAATTGCTTACAAAATGTTACAATTGTTAATTTCTCTGCTATCCTTTGAAAGAGAGATTAATATGATACTATATTCAATTTTAGTATCTCAAGTTTCTCTCAAATGTTAGAGAATCAGACATCACATTGGTCCAATAATTTTGCCTGCCCTTTAGAAAGGACTAAGTCCATCCAAGATCTTCCTTTTCTCCCCACAAAAGGTCCTAATCTTCTCTGGCAGAAGGACCTCTACAATGCATGACAACACCTTCACATTTTCAGCCACGTGATTTCAGCTTCTAGCAGAGCATTAAAGGAGGTGAAGAAGCAGGCATGTTTCATCCTTATTATTGACTGTTACTGTCTTCATTTCTGCAGTGTTCATCCATGAATGCTAATATGGTTGGGACATAGGTATATGTGGGCATATTAAGAATGATGGAGTTCAGCTTTGGCCTCCATCTACTGATAACTGCTTTTTATCTTATTTTATCATGGTTCTATTTGTTCTGATTGGATTTCCTTTCTATCTACCCCTCAACCAACCCCCCCCCCCAAACATTTTGTTTTGTCTCTTGTTCTGTTCCTCCAGCCATGCAATCCCTGTTGATTTTGCTCGTGGACAACTGTCTGGTCATCCTCTTTGTATGAAGCAATACTATGGACTCTTCTCTTCCTATCGCCTCCCAGGACATACCAAAGACACCCTTGTGTCCCAGAAAAGCAATATCATGCCTGAACCAGACCATATCATTGTTGCTTGTAACAATCAGGTGAGTGCATCTTAATCTCACTTTATTTTTTTTTTAAATCTATCCCCCACCCAATTTTTTTTCAGTTGAATTGATCAAGCATGTGTTTAAACTCAGATTTATTTATTTTATTTTACTAATCAAATTTATACGCCACCCATCTCACTATATAAGTGACGCTAAGCGGCTTACAAGTAAAAGAACTATAAAAATCTTTACAAACTTATGCAAAGCTGAAAAGCTAAAAAGGTGGAGAGGTGAAAAGGTTACAAGACTTTTGCCCAGTCTGGGTGACCACCAGGTGTGTGAACTTCATCTCCCAGAATTCACCAATCAACACAGCTAGTACTGAGAATTTGGGGAGTTGAAACCCATAGATCTGGAAGGCACCAGATTGGGGGCCATTGCAATGAAGAAATGCCTGAAGACAGGAGCAACAGGATGGAGATGAACTGAAAAGTTTGTTCTGAGTGTATGCTTCCTTGTTCTAATCTGACTCTTGACCATCGTAGCAAAATTGAAGAAACCCTTGGTGACTGGAGTCACAACTTACTACCAAGTGCCTGAGGACCTCACAGACTGAGACTGTTGTAGAAAACTGGAAGGGATTTTCGATGTGCTTCCTGTTTTTCCAGGGGAAACTTTGTTTTCTTTTTCTTTTTAAAGTTAGCAATTCTTTATTGTATCTATTGGCCAACTTTTATCAAAGAGTTCAAGGCAGTATACGTGAGAAAAATAGCTCTGTGAGGTAGACAGGACAGTGAGGTAGATTGGACAGATGTATCTCCACAGCCATAACCCTACAAGGTGGATTTTATATTTTTATATTTATATTTTTATATTTATATTTTTATATTTTTATATTTATATTTTTACAAAGTGACTAACCCAGAGTCATCCCGTGAACGATGTGGTCAAGTGGGGATTTGAATCTGGATCTCCTAATTCCAGTTCCCCTAAACGTTGGATTACACCAGCCGTTTTAAATTTCTACTCTAGTTGGTTCTGTTTTCCACCGGAACGAAGGGGAATTCCATTGGCAATTTTTGGCAAGACATCATCAAAATTAGTGATGCCAAACAGCACTCAGAAGACTGTAAAAAGGGATCAAAAGTTGCCTACTTTTACTCTATATCATGGCTTATTGTATTATTTCGTGGTGACTTCCACAGTCAGAAAAGTCAATATGGCAGCCATGATCGTGTGATTGAATCGCATCTGCAGCATAAATAAAAAGAGGAGGGGCTTTGCATCATCACAGCCCCCATCTTGACCTCCCCAAATGCCCCTGGGTGGCTATTCTTGTAAACCAACGTAGCAGAAGTGAAAGTCTCTCAGGTCTAGCTGGCTGACGTGTTGCGCAAATACATCCAGTTCAATTTTATTTGGGCCACCTCTGAGTGCACTCTGTTGATGCTCAGAGGCCAGCGGTTGTGCTGCAGACTGTAGATGGGGCAAGAAATCATGCAAAGCAGGAACACGTTATGGGGGATGGATATTAGGATATTAGGAATGGAAAAATGGTATTGATACAGCAGTCATCCCCTGATTCAAAGAGTAACCCATTTTCATCTCTTCACTCCTGGTGCTTCCTCTGCAGTTTTTTGTTCTGGACGTGGTTATTAATTTCCGGCGTCTCAGCGAGGGAGACCTGTTCACCCAGCTACGGAAGATCGTGAAGATGTCGGAGAATGAAGAAGAGAGACTGCCGCCAATTGGTCTCCTGACCTCGGATGGGAGGCTGGAGTGGGCCGAGGCCCGAGCGATCCTCATGGAAGGTTAGCAAGACGCACCTCTGCACCCCACCTCCCCGTCATCCAGTCCTTTGGCCGGGTTGCCCTGGACAGTCCCAAAGGCCCAGCCTGGCATGCTGCAGTGGGGCAGGTGGCTGTCCCCCTTCCCAGCATTTTCTCACTCCCTTTTCTTTTCCCCCTGGCTCTGAGGGCTTCTTGTCCTGCCTGCCATCCCCTTGTCAGATGACAGCACGCTTTCTTCTCATGTATTCCTTTCAACTTGTAGAGAAGTCTGGGAGTGCTACAACACGAAGCTCCAATAATTCCTAGCATGAGGCATATTCTAATCCTGGAGCATGTTTTTTTCTGAACCCAAATTAAAAGCCTACCCAGTTTTAATTTTGAGAACAATATCAAAATTGCCCAATTTCAGAGGAGCATCCCCAACTATTACTTCGTTATGAAATACTCATTTAGGCATCTTTAGCACTTGTTTCCCCCCATTTCAAAAACTGAAACGAGGTGGACCAAAGTTTTGTTATCCTCTTGGCAGCTGCTTGCAGGCACAGAAGGTCTTCCTAACTAAGTAGCCTCAGCTGGATCCCAGACAAGAGAGATCTGTGGTCCCATCTGGACAGGCCCTTCTTACTTTCATAAGTTACAGTGCTCGCATTTCCCATTGTTACTGGAGGAGCGGAATTTGCACATGAAGTTACAAGAGTTAGGGCAGGCTACAAGGCTGCCCCAGGTAAAGATTAGATTGCATGAATATCCAATATCCAGTTTGAATGATTTGATTTCATGTGTCAATTTAATAAAATGTGTACGGCAATGTGTCCATGCAGAAGTCCACCAAATTGCCAAAGAGACCTGGTGCTTTTCAAGTTCAGCAGATTAATTTGAACAGGGGAGTCAACCAAATTGCTTTCAGATCTAATCTCCTCCTAGCCCTGTGGGTAAAAACCCCAACATTGCACACCATAAACTTCCACTGACTTTATTCTGTAGTAACAAAATGCTTGCACCCCTAGAGTTCTTACCATTCAGAGAATAAGATTACAAGGTATAACAATTTCATCTAGGAGGTGGAAAACCACAGAATAGTCTGCAATTATCACAAACCAATTGTTTTGTACTCCAGATTCTACAAACCGAGACTCCCTCGATATGATTGAACGAAGTCTGTGCTTGGTGTGTCTTGATAGTGCGGGTGGGGAAGAACTCAATGATACCAACAGGGCCTTGCAACTTCTCCATGGCGGAGGCTACAATAGAAATGGTGCCAACCGTTGGTATGACAAGTCTATACAGGTAAGTTCCAACAACCAGCAGAGGAGAACAACACACATCAGTTCCTGGCTGAATCCAGGAAGGCAATTAAGAACTTCTTGTCTCACTACAATGTGGCTCTCTCAAAGAAAAGGGCTGCGAAACCAGGCTTAAGTCACTTAAAATGGGTATGGAAGTTCTGCGTCCAAATCTGCTGTCTGTACTACAGTTGCCTTAAGCAACCTAACCTCTCTACTACCATGAGATGATCATGCTAACCTTCTTTTAAGGCAGTCCAGAGCCCTCAGCCTCCTTTAAAGAGCTGTCTAGAAGTGATCATTGGTTCAGATTTTGTCAAAACCTATCTAGTCTTCATTGGCAACATACTGTGCTAGGAGAGAAAAGAAGGAAAAAAATTGGGGTGTATCTTGGGTTCTGGTCCCAACTTACCTCTTGCTTCAAGCCCTCCAACAACCATTCATTTTAATAAGTCAGCTATTTAAAGCAGCCACATCTTTTTTTCAATCTCACAGAGGGCCACCCCGCCCAAAGTGGGGCTCTTTAATAAATAGCAGAGAAGTGCTGTGCTCCCAGGAGGTCCAAAGCATTTCTTATGAACTGCTTTCAAAGTGTGCCTGGCTCTGCTTTCTAGTCATCCCAATAAGGAGGACAATGGTGTGTGTCAGATTCGTCACCTGGATGAAATGTAGTGGTTAAGGTGTTGGCTTTGGACCAGGTCCGCTAAGTTCAATCTCCATTTGAACATGAGCTCACCAGGTGCCTTTGAATCAACCGCTCTCTTATAATCCACCTATCTCAGAGGTTCACTGCATGGGGTTAAAATTAGGAGAGATCCCTATACAAGCTGCTTTAAGTCGTCAGAGAAAAGGAGAGCTGTCCTCTATAAAACGATGGAGGGATCTCAATCATAGCCAAAGCCACCAGCAGCTTTTCTAGTAGTCATTTCTCAATCTCAATTTTAAACAAAACAAAACACTGAATATAGGGTAGTCTTTCTTTAAAAGTCCTTTTTTTTTCTGAGAAAGAAAGCATAGAAGAATGTATACACATTACTTTTTGCACATTAGGAGCAATTTCTCCTGGGATTTCCAGCAAAATGGTTGTTTCTTTCTCTCTCTGAGAATTGTTGAAAACAGTATCTCAGACTGCCTGTCAGAAACAATCAGTGAAAAGAATTACTAATTGGATTGTTCTCTGCTGCTTTGGGAAATTTGGGGAGATAAGATGCCTCATTGTCAGAAGAAACAACCCTCTTCATCCTCCTGCCAGAACAGCTTGCAAAGTTGGGGACTGTCTTCAAGTAAGAACAAGCATTTCTTCTCAAAAAGTCAGGGTGAAACTCCATTAGATTATCAAGTAAGAGATATACAGAGAGAAGTTTTGACTCCAAAGTTATCTGCTGGTTTGTCAGCAACAGATGTTACAAATGATTTTGGAGTGTGCTTTGAAAGTGGGTGTCTTAGAAAGAAAATAGATTAATAACCAGAAAAAAGTAAGAGGAAAGAATTGCTGTACTAATCTATGAAAAGAGAACTAAAAGTTTAGAAGAAGTAGAAGTACCAAGAAAAAAAAAGAGCTGATCGCCTGCCAAGAAGAACTGGACTGGATTCAAGGTCAAGCAAGTCATATGAAATTCAAAATTTTGAAGTTCCCTTATGTGGATGTTGATCAATCTTTGGGGTTACCATGGAGAAATGTATATAAGAACTGTCCCAGTTGGAGTATGGAGACTTTTTAGATGCCATTTCTCAAGTCCCAAGAGAGTTCCAATCACTGCGTAGCCAGAATCTCATCATGGTAGAGTTTTTTCAGAGCTCTAAATGTGATAATATTCTGCAGATATGCAAGAAGGCAAGCGCCCTGGAGAAGAATAATATTCCCTGAGTTGCCACAGAGATATACAAAAATATAAAGAATTTAGCCAAGTTTCCCCTTCATGGATCACTGCCTTGTCGTGGCGAAGGGGCTTGCGTAACTCAGTGAA